TGTAAAGTAGGGAGGGTGAGTGTAGGCTCACAGCACTTAGACTACATGTGCCCCATCGAACATCCTCCCAAGGAGTTGTCCTCCTAGGTCATCGTCCATCCTGTCCTTTCCAGGAAGGTGGACATGTCACTAGGAAACATCCCCTTTATATTGGCAGGTGTAGGCCAAGACTCGCCGAACACACACTCTCTTTGACAACCTTGAGGTATCTCATGGCGGCCTCCGCGAAGGTTTTGGAAGGTGCAGCGACATTACTGTCGTTGCGCGGCTTCTTCAACCTTCCTGGGGTTCCCCAAGTGGAGGTGTTCAAGTGAGGGCGCTTTCCTGCATGGGCAGCTGGTTCCTTGCCTTTATTCAAGGCGGAGGCCTTGGCGCCCGCCGCAGAAAGTGCCCTTGCTGTTGGAGGTGGAGTGGAGAAGGATGCACTGATAGTTGCTGCCACTCCTACCTCTTTCGCTCTCTTTCTCCTTTTAGCCTCTGCGCCGCCTTTGCATTACATCACGAGGTGATCTACTATGTCCGGCCTCATTCCGAGCGGTAGATTGGGGGACATTTCCGTTCATCCCCAGCCACCGCCATAGATTGAGGTGAGCACTTCTGTCCAGCCTCGGGCAGAGGCCCGCATCACCAGAGGAAGGCTGATTACAATAACGTTTCGCCCGATTCCCCAAGGGGATCGTTTGTAACCGCATATCACCCTGCGGCCATTCAGCTGTCGGCACGATTCCTTACACCTTAACTTGGGTAGGCTGGTCCACGGTGGCATGTTTTGCAAAAGCTTTTGTGGGAGTTCCCCTCACCCTACTTATTTCTGCCACTGACCAGGAGTCCGTCAATCCCGTCCGTAAGGCCACATATTGGCTTCCCGGACAGGGCCGCCAGTCCTCTGGCCGTTCCCCTATCCGTCATCTGGGGACTTGCCCGATAGGTAGCCCAACCCACGAGCAACTTCCTGTATGAAGCATGTTAAAAAAACCTGTTTGACAATTTTCAGGAAATGAATCCTATTACTTTCCAAAATACGGCTAACTGACGATCATCACTGTATATGCTAGTATCAACAATGGTGAATTAAATATTATCATTATATTTAAATCTACTACATCCTAAACGAAAAAATATTGGTTTTGGAGATGTTGACAGCTAGATGGTTAGAGCCACCATTTCAATGCTTTTACAGAAAATGTTGTTTAACCGATAATTTTGAAATGCTTCCCCAAGAAAAGTATATCAACAGATTTTTTGCAAAGAGTGAAAAAGTTCAGAATGATATTGTAGTTGAAATAAGAGCAATAAAAAATAACATTGTTATGGCTCATCAAAGTACTCCAGACTAAAATCAAAAATAAGACACAGGATGAAAAAATTCTGGAAGGCATATGTATCTGTGATTTCAAAAATTTCAATGTTGGAACTTGAAATTGTGAATCCGAAAAAAAAGATTGGTTGAATTGAGCTTAGAAGAGAACAGTCGACTAGTGACTGTAGATAAGGTAACATATTAAAATGTCCAGGGCTAAAGACTATGTAGATTTTTTGAAAAAAGAATGTGAACATGTTGATTTGAGAAAAAACAAGAGAGATAAAGTATGGAGAAAAGAAACACATAGCTGAAACTGTACAGAGAAGTCAATTAAGATTCAAAAAGTTGAATTGTTCCACACAACTGCTTTCATTAAAAAAATAAAGATCTCACAAATGAATTTCATGAAAAAGAATTAAAAATACATCTATTGAAAAAAGAGCCCAAGATGTTGAGAAAAAAAATTCAATGTTTCTGAAAAAGTATATTTATGATCATTACCAATTAGCTTGATGCTCTCTAAAGCTATATAAATAAAAAAAACATAAAACGATTTTTTTTCATATCAGGTGGACATCTCCATTTTTCACTAAATTTGCTACACTATTGTAGGATATTATCATTCGTGAACCGGTGCTGAAATCCACTAAATCGTTGTCAGCATCATTTCCATCATCTATGATAACACCTTCTATGTCCTTCTTTGATTTCAAGAATACGAAACTATGATTGTTTGGCTCTATAATTTGGTTTGACCAATTTTCAGCAGGTAACCCAGGATAGAAACTCAGGACATTATCGAAATATTCTTCTAAACCTGGAAGTATATTAGAAGATCTGTGACTCTTATTTCAAAAAAATATTCAGAACATTATTGAAGATCTATTCATTTAAGAAAGATATAGTTACCCCGAGAAAAATCTTTGGCAAATTTCATTTCTTGTTCGCTCAGATACATATCTTCCCCCTTTTCCTGACGTTTAGCTTCTTCCTTTAGGATAAAAGTAACATAACATTCAATTTTTTCTAATCTGGTTCGCAAATAGCTAGAAACTAAAAATCTCAGTCTATCAACTTCCAACTGATGAATGCTTTTTCTGAAATCTGTGCTGTTGAGCCTCCGTATATTTCCTTCCATCGAAGTTATTTGATCTAGAAGACACTCGACTATTTCGAACTTGTGAGGAAGAATCTCAGGAGCAAATTTTTCATTACTCCATGATTCTTCCATGAGTTCTATTACTTCAGCTGGCGTTAATTGAACGTGGTCTTCATCATCTTCGTCAGAATTAAACATGTTTGTTTCCGAGTTTTCCAAATCCATGTTTTATTTAAAATAGCATTTGTTTAAAAATAATATAAATTCGATCTTGAGTAATCAAAGAGACATTTTTGTCTTGAAGTTTGAACAATATGAGGTTAGGATATTTTTCGCGGGTAATCTCTTTTCAAATTTAGTAACATTTAGCTGCGTTTTATTGTGATTTGATTATCTGCGGTTTGGGATAGATTCTAACAATCATAAATATGCAACAGAACATACACACTTCTGGATTAGAATTAGTCCGAAAAAAACGAAACATTTCTGAATAATTACGTCTGCTCCTAACCAAGATGCCAGAATATTCCTGGGATCTACTAATATACTCTGGGGGCCATAAATATTATGATATATATCAGTAAAATATCTATGCAATCCCCTTATCTTATAGGTACATACAAGTATATCACATGATTCAACTCTGAAAACTACTTCGTATTATCGTAGCATTATATTCCAACTAACAGATCATTTCTATCGATAATGCTTTCACTACAGGAATTTCGGAAAAATAGTTGTCAAATGAACAAATTCTTCTCTGTCTCTGTTTTTTTTGGTCTTTGCTTTCCTTCGACGCATTAGACCAAATGAACAAATTCGATATTTCGCAAAAATATCAACATATAATGTCACTTTGAATGTTACTGGAGTTTTAATCCCAACACCACACCGTTATTTCCAACACTTCAACACATGTGAATCACCAAGTGATCATATTGAAGGGGAAGATGAGTTTAATCTTCTTTTTGAAGATGATCACTTGGTGATTGAAACACGTGTCGAGGTGTTAAAAATAACGGTTTGGTGTTGGGATTGAAACTCCAGTAATATTCTTTACTACACCAAAGGTTCCATGCAGTGCTTCACAAGAAAATGTCACTTAGACAATTAAGTCAGCCATCTCTGTGTATCAGAAAGTAAAAACCCCCGCTTGCAAAAGATTTTTAAATTTCACAATAATTCATTGACTTTCAACGTTATCTCACAGTAACTTTGCTGGGTTATATTTACCAAATACTTGAACAGCTTAAATCTTTCTCTTGTAGATGATCACTTGATGATTGAAACAACGTGTCGACGTATTAAAAATAACGGTTTGGTGTTAGGATAAAATTTCAGTAATATTTTTTAAATACTTGAATGGTTACATTTCTATAAGTTCTATATCATCAACATATCGTTAAAAATATCAAAATTCGAATTCAGCATACTTTATTACGTTCTCCATAATTGCAAGGTTCATATCATACCACTTTTGATATTAGTGCCCTTTTGGTCGAATTTTGGACTGTAATCCATTGTTCACTAGTGGACAGTTTTTTAGCTAAATCCCCCCTGAGGTGGTTTTTTATACCTTTGCCGTCCATACTTCTGACAATGGACCTTTTGAATAATGAAAAACCATTATACTTTTTCTAGTTTCGACACTTAATAAGTGGTAACCATTCTATGAAAGTCAAATATATAAGTTTATATTATCATATTTTATAATTAATCACTACCATCTAAAAACACTTGAAATTTTCTCCAAAAACTATCTAGATGTTTTAGCCGAGTAATGTTGTTGGGACCATTTAAGTACTAGAATGCATAAGCGCGAACATGTCAAAAAAACACTCATAAACATCAATTTCTAGCCAGTGGCATCACTGTGAGAAAGGCGTTCGAAAAAATGTGGCACACGAACACAATACTGTTATTTTATGTTGAAGCTTGTGGCCGGTCAGGAGATGTCACTTTAAATTTTGACACGTACCCCAAATCATTTTAAATAAAGAGAAATGGGCCAAAAATTTCAATATGACGAGAGTGGGTCTACATTTTTCTATTTCTTATTATCATTTTTAGTTCTTGTTCTGATTCCGGCAACATTTTATTATTGGCCAAAGAAGAAAAAAAGAGGCAAGTAAACATGATCTTTAACTTTTTCTTTAGTAATATAGATATTCATATTCCTGTGATAATTGTCAAAAACTCTTGATGGGTGCACTTGATTCTCAAGCAAAACATATTAACCAAGTGATTCCAAAAGTAAATTGTGGTCATAACCATTTGAGGAATAACTAGGTTAAGTTTGAAATTTATTAAATTTTATCAAGACTCATACAGGCATATGGCTGAGAAAGATGTTACACGTTAATTGATTTCAGATATATCAGAAGAGAATAAGCAATGCAAATGTCCAGGATGTGTGTCAAAAAGAGAATATTTGAAAGCAGCAGAACCATGGAAGGGGCCAAAGAATTTCCTAATAAAACTCATCATAATCGCTGGCTGGATAATTTTGATTTTGTTGGCTTACAAAGTCTCCCAGTTTGATTATGAAATGGCTAACTTTGACCCCTACGAAATCCTGAAAATTCCTCTAGGCGCCAGCCAGACTGAAATCAAAAAAGCCTACAGAAAATTGTCCTTGATACTTCACCCTGACAAAGACACTGGTAATGAAAAGGAATTCATGAAACTCACAAAAGCTTACCAGGTACCGTGACTGCCAAGTTATAATTAGAGGAACCATTCTTAGTCCCATTGATTTTCAGGCACTGACTGACGAAGAGGCACGGAGAAATTGGGAGATATACGGAAATCCTGATGGGCCTGGAGCTATGAGTTTTGGCATAGCCCTACCATCTTGGATTGTAGAGAAAGAAAATAGCGTTTGGGTTTTGGGGTTGTATGCTCTTGTGTTTATGGTAGCTCTACCTATTGTGGTAAGTGCATGTTGACTTATCAGGTTCAAAATTGCATTTATTCTAAAATAAAATTCTGCGTCTTTTAGGTTGGTACCTGGTGGTACAGAAGTATCAAATTCACAGGAGATCAAGTACTTTTAGACACAACCCAACTATACTACTATTTTTTTAATAAAACTCCAAATATGGCTGTAAGACGTGTGATAATGATTCTTGCAGCCAGTCTGGAATTTGATAAAAAACGTAATTCTGAAATCATTGAAAGACAGTCAGATAATGAAGAAATACCACAGGTGAGGGTTTGCAAAACAATTGTATGTAAATCTTTTTTTTTTAATTTATAGGTGTAAAATGCTAGTGTTGTGAAATAATGTATTCTTCCAGCTTTTCAAAAAACTGCAAAATTTGGGAGAGAAAAATAAAGAAAGGCCACTTTGTTACTTGTACAGTATAAAAGCGAGGGCAATCATCCATGCTCATTTGAGCAGGATTCCTTTAAATCCCATCACGCTGGAGCAGGACAGAAAGTATATAATTGGAAAATGTCCTTATCTGATAAACGAACAAGTCAATTGTGTCAATCAGCTCATAATGTTGGCATATGCGAGAAGAAGTAAGTATAGCTTTTTTGTTCATAAGTAAAACATTTCAGAATTCTGTACATTGTTTCACGAGGGAACAGTAATTCACCATGGAGAAATTACAATCAGGAAAACATCAATTATTTCAGGATCCTGAAAAAAAATTCAGTACCTTTATCTCAACCTATTAGTCACTTTTCAATATGGCTTTCCCACTAGAATCATATAAACGTATAAAAAAGAAAATGCCTGGATCACACCAGGACTTATAGAGGAGGGCAGATTCGTTAGAGATGTTTTATCAATTTGTTAGGACTTCGAGTGACAATTAACCAAAATTAAAATACAGTATAATGAGTAAAAAATCACATGAAAAATATATATTGTTAATAAACTCATATATTCATAATTCTAATAACGTTTATTTCGCCATCTTTTCTTGATACAACAATAATAATTACTAACTCTAATTCTTCTTCTCTTTTTCTATATACGTTTTTCATCGTCACCGACCAAACTGATCGGGAGCGTTCCAAAGAGAGCACGATATAAATGTACAGTATTCCAACATATATGAAGCTAAAAAATGCTACAACAATCATATTATTTAATCTTCTTCGAATAAATCAAGGGCCACATGGAGCATTATCAACTACAACATAGGAAATAAAAGACTTAAGAAAACACCGTATCACATAATGGTAAAAAATGTGAAGGAATAAATTCTTTAATAATATTAATAATAACTAAATATCGAGATAATTAAATATCGAGATTTTCTCTTCGAAGTCCGCAGACTCTATCCAGATCACTCTGTCACGATGGTTGTTCTGATTATAGGAGTCCTTTGTGGAATGATGCTCTCTCGAATCTTAAAATCATTCCGGCTTGCCGTACTAAGGCAGAAATCTTAGCTGGA